ATTCCAAAAAGTCAATTTTCAAAAAAGTTATGGTTATTTAACAAAAAAAAAGCTGTTTTTTTGTAATAACTCGTAACTTTTTTTTGGTTGGGTAAAAAAATTTGAAAAAATTCTGAAAATTGTTTTCAATAGGGTAGAGAAAGATACCAAAATTTCAGAAAAATCGAAAAGGGTCGGTGTCAAAAGTGGTCGATTTGGCATGGAATACCCCAAATACTAAAAATATTACTAATATATTATTAAATGAAGGACTGATTTTTTTATAAAAAATTATTTACTTTCGTTTAGAGAAGTCATTTCGTATACTCCTCGGCTGAAATAAAAAGAAAATAAAATTAGAGATATCAAATTTTACTTGCTATTAGAACATAATTATTAAATTAATATAAGCTATAAAATAAGTTCAGGATACTTTACATTACGTATTTCTATAATTTTTTTTAACTGAAAAATTGGAAACTGATTTAGAAAAATATAATTCTATATCAAGAACTAGGGGGAGATGCGAGAAAGATTTAATCATATAACAGATTAAACACTTGATTATTTCTTTAAATTTTCAATTCTTAGAGAAATTCATACATTTAAGTCATTTCACAATAAGTTTGAAAATAAAACTGAAATTTGCAGACATCTGACAATTTTTTGATTCTGATATTGTAAGACATCTAATAAATCTTAAAATTTTTTTAACAAATAAATTTCATAAATTTTAAATAAAAGTTCAAAAAAATTTATAAATATAATTTTGTAAAATAATTTTCTAGACCTAGTTCAATTTTCAAGAAAAATTAAAAAATTGTCATCAATTTTTCTGATTTTTATAACAAATCTTTTGTGACAAAAAAAATTTCTAAAATTCGCACTCACAATTTTTTCAATTTTCTACGTAAGAAGTTGTTTACTAAAATTTTTTTATGGAAACCTATCAATATTTTCAGATGTCTGTAAATTTCAGTACCATATTCGCGCTCGCAAATAACCTAAAATAATAAATGATATTAAAGTTAGCAAACATTTGATAATTTTTAGAATTTCAACCACATTCCCCTTATGTGAATGTAGTAAAAAAAAATTAAATTAGCAATTTTTTAGAACCATTTCTTAATACTTAAGTCTATTTATTACTTAGAATTAGAGGCACCAAGTAATGGATTACAATTCTATAGAATTCTAATGACGCTAATTTTAACCTTTATAACCTACAGTGTACAACAGACATATCGGCACCCAAACTTTCCTTAGTCTCTATTTATATGTACATAAATAATTATCTAATAAGTATTATTATATTTTTTAATATATTCGTAATAAATAATTATGATTACATAAGTACAGGAAAGAAATTTACCTAATATTCTTATTTCAATGTGGCTGAAATACCGAAATACCCGTTGTTAGAACAGCGATTAAATAATAGGTATAGAATCGAATGGGATTCCCATTATGGGAATTAGGGATAGGCGGCATATATCGATGTTTCGACTATCGATACTTTTTTTAATCGAAACATCGATAGTTGATGAAAAAATAATCAACCATTGACATTGTCTAGTCTGATTTTTTAAGATTTTATCTTTTAATTGTAAATTTTATGATAATTTTTTTTTACTAGTGAATTAGCATAACGGCGTGCCATACAAATGAATTTTTTTTTTTTTTTTTTTTTTTAACAAATAAATTACTTTTGCGCAGTTAAATATTTTTATCTGGTCTGTATCTTCGAAAAATTTCTTGTGCAAACTTTTTGTATATACCGTGTGCATGATTTTTCGAAAGCCACTCAACAAAATTTCTCATTACTTCAAAAACAATCATATTTTAGATATATTTATATCTGTACAAATATATCGAAATTTCTAAGGAAAATTTGTAAAATCAATATAATTAATCACAATTAGTAATAAAAATTTCTTTAAACGTGGTAAAATCAAGTAAATATATAATTTTATTTGAGAAACTGAATTTTAGGAATTCAAAACCGGCTCTGACAAGTTATATATAATAACATCGCTTCTTTTGAAAAATGATTTCAACTTTAAAAATTAGTTGTACGGTAAAACATTTTGATGATAATTATGAAAAAATATTTTTAATTTCAATATTGTATGTTTTTTTCAATTTTTTTATCTGACAGTTAACTGAAAATGTTGAATCTGAAAGTTATTTTTATTTTATTTATGTTCGAAAACAAAAAATTTTAATAATCAATAAATTTTTAACAACGTAATTACTTTTTAAAATTTTGAATTAAGTTTCAAAGCCCGCTCTGACAAGTATAACGGCTGCTCGGCGGGCATGCGCTCTCCGAATTAACTATAGTCATTAGCGATGCCACACTAGCGGTTTCAAAATGATCTATCCTCAAGGCCGCCTATGTTTACCTGAATAAACCCAAGCTATATGGCTGCCGTTTTTTATTGTGAATTGAAACCATAAACAGTTTGTTGAATTCATTTATTATCAATCAACTAGGTACAAACATATTGATAATATTAAAAGAATACCGAATTTCCAATCTTAAGTTGATGCGGATGTAACCAGTTTAAGATATAAAGTTTTATATGAGTAGTAAGAAATATTTTGAATTTATTAAAAAAAAAAAAGGTAGGTTAAAATAAAAAAATATATTAGATGTTATGTTTATATATAGAATTTTTTTGTAAATCTTGATGATGATTTTTGTTTTAGTGAATAAAATGGGACTGATGACTAAAAAAGGAACAAATAAGTATGAATTTACTGACAATCTTAGTTTTTATTTAAAAAGCGAGTGGAGTAAGTCGCAATTTTTTAATTCCGAAGATATTCCTAATTATGAATTTAACATGCTCGCACGAATAGCTGGTGATAAGCAGAGCATTGATATACGAGTACAAAAAAGTGATCTTCGAGCAGCAGTTGCAGTTGTAAAAGTACAATTAGACAGGCAAAGGCCGATGATTAGCTGTGTAGTAGATTGGAAGAGAAATGTTGATTTTAATAATTTTATATTTTCTCTTGCTGTTGATGAATATTTAAAAAAAGGCTGTGGATCTAGTTTCAACAAATATGTCACAGTGAGTTGTTCAATATTCTGGTTTGGATTCGTTGAGGATTTTTATTGTTCGTATGGATGCAGACATGTAGAAAATTATTACAAAAGCAATGAATTTAGTGACATGGTGATTATTGTTGACGATAATAAATTTCCTGCTCATCAGAATATTTTAGCAAGACAAAGTTCTATTTTCCGTGATATGTTGACTAGTAACTTGAAAAAGTCTGGAGAAAACAGTATTTCTTTCCCGGGTGTCGATGTCAAGATTATCAAAGAAATGATTTTGTTTTTCTACCAAAACAGATTAGATGATGCTGAAAAAGATGAAGAAATGGCGTTAAAATTGGTGAAGTTTGCAGCTATGTATCAGATTGACTATTTAAAAACTGCTTGTGAATATCTTTTGGTGAAAAACTTGAAAATTGATAACGTATTTGACCTCTATTCTGTCGCTAAGGATTGTAATTTAACAACTTTACAACAACATGCAATTACGCTTATTAAAAACAATATTTTTGAAATGGGTGTGATACCTGAAAAAAGCAAGGATGAATTTGCATTACATCATAAATTCAAATTAAATTACCAAAAACACAAGGAAGAATCAATTACTCTCAATACAGCAGATACAATAGACATTCCTGATACAGAATTCACTTTTTTTGCCCAAATAAATAATCATAAAAATCTGCATGTAAAAATAGAAAAAAGTGATCAAAGATCAGCAGTTGTAATCATTAAAGTACAAATTGGGAATCAAAAGCCGATCATTTGCCAGTTAGCTGATTGGAAAAAAACAGTTAATTTTAACAACGATCCAATCCCTCTTACTCTTGATGTATTAAATGGTCACGAATACGAAATACCAATAAATTTTTCGGTACTCTGGCAAGGTTACATAGAAGACGTGTATCATCTAGATGTTTGTAATCGAATGAAAAATTATTACGATAATACTGAATTTAGTGATTTGAAGTTGAGCGTCGAAGATAGTGAATTTCCTGCTCACAAGAATGTTTTAGCAAAACATAGTCCTGTGTTCTACAAAATGCTAACCAGTGATATGAAAGAGTCGAAAGAAAACAGAATTTATTTTCCAGATGCCGATGTTGGTACTATCAAAGAAATGCTTCTGTTTTTTTATCAACATAAATTAGATGAAGCTAATAAAGATGAAGAAATGGTGATAAAATTGTTCCATTTTTCATCTATGTACCAAATTGACAAATTAAAAACTGCTTGTGAATATATTTTGATAACAAGCTTGAAAATTGAAAACGTGTTTAACCGTTATTCTTTTGCTAAGAATAATAATTCAAGTATCTTACAGCAACATGCGCTTATTTTCATCGAAAATAATGCCTTTGAAATGCTCGATGTAACCTGTGAAGAGATGAAGAAGTGATTTGCAATCAAGTATTTTAAAAAAGGATCCAAACTCTTCTATTATTATTCTACTACTGTTTTATTATTCTACTATTCAAAAAAAAATTTTTTAAACGACTTTCTATAACTTAAAAAAAAATAATATTTTCCTCTTATAACTTGATAAATTTTTACATGTTTTTAATATACGAGATTAAAAAAATTTTTATACTTTACTTTATCTTTAGTTTTGTTGTAACAAATGTACTGATAAGAAAAATATAAATTTCATGATTCTGAATTACATATAACTTAATTAATTAATCGTAGCATAACAATAAATATAAAATATGTAATTAGTACAAGTGTAAAAAAAAATATAAACTTTCTGTTCTATAAACTAACATTTTAGTTTTAAAGAAGAAATTAAACATGGATGATTCCACCAAATTTTTTATTCAAAAAATATAAATAAGGAATGTCATTTTATTTGAAAAATATTTAAATAAAATGAAATTAAAGTAAGCAGTCACTTGGAAATGTTTTAAATTTGATTTAACAAACAAACTTGTTCTGCAAAACTATTTTAAAAAAATTGCATTATTTTTTTTTTATTTTGAAATGTCAAATTTTTTTTCTATTTTTTTATGCAGTAATTTATTTCTTAAAAAAGTTCTAAAAATTATTAAATATCTGCTACTTTGACTTTCATTAAAATAAAAATACGCTAATTGTGTTGTAACAAAAAATAAGTTCGTAGTTAGCCGCCTAGCGCTACGATTTCCTACAAATAATAACAATATTTTTATTTTTTTTTTTTTTATTTTATTTAAATAAACAAACCCAACAGCCTAGGGGCCATTAACAGGGTTAATAATACAACAGTTAGTATATAAAAACAAGAAAAATTTTTGATTTATAACAAGATGACTTATAGCTAGCATAGTGATTTCATATTTAATACAATAATAATATTAGTATTACTATTAATTAAAAAATTAATTAAAAAAAAAAAAATTACATTAATTATAAATATTCTATATTATCAATATTAATTATAAATATTAATATTAATTATAAATTTAATAGATAGATTGTTAAATGAGTAAACCATTGATGTGTTAGCAATTGCAAACCATAACAAAAAATAATATTAATTGCTAAAATTAAAAAGAAAAAAAAGAAAAAAAAAAATAATAATAATAATTATAAAATTTGTAGCAATTGCACATAATTAACACCATTGAGTTAATATTTGGCCAAGTGATGCTGTTATACAGCCACTAAGTTAGTTTGACAGCACCAGGTGTAAATAATTATCTGATAATTAGTAACAAGATTGTTTAGTTCAAATTGAAGCAAATTATAACAGTCATTTAAGAGCGCAAATCTTGTACTAAGTAATATACGGGCCTGTTGCCCGATAAATCTACTAGTATTGACATCACCAGTTTTAAAGACCTTACAGCTAATATCACTCAAACTCTCAGAAACAGATCTAAAAAATCACTAAAAAAAAACAAAAAAAATAATTATTTCACTACACTGAATAGTTCGCTAGCAGAATGTTCTCATAAATAGTTAATGATTTTTGTTCAGGCCCATAACCGAAGTTCGGGTATGCTGAACAATAATCTGTCGAGTCCCTCTGGTTGCTATCCGCAGATTCTCCTCACCCGCTGAAGTACGCCGCTTCATCTCTTCCTTCAGGGCCAGATATTCCTGCCTCTGCGCCGGTGTCTGGTCCCGAGCAATTACTAGTTGTTGTAAGGTTCCTTACAAATATGGCTGCAACATTATTTAAAAAAAATTGCATTATTATTTTTTTTTATTTTGAAATGTCAAATTTTTTTTCTATTTTTTTATGCAGTAATTTATTTCTTAAAAAAGTTCTAAAAATTATTAAATATCTGCTACTTTGACTTTCATTAAAATAAAAATACGCTAATTGTGTAATAACAAAAAATAGGTTCGTAGTTAGCCGCATTAGCGCTACGATTTCCTAAAAATAATAACAATATGGGTATTTTTTGTTAATTGGTACCTCATGTTCCATATTTACTTATTAATTATAAATTAACTACAAAAATATCAATAATATCCATGAAATAATGACATTGTCAGTCCAAAGTTGATGAAGAAATATCCAATTAAATTTTTCGAGTTTTTGAGTGGTAAGATATATTGATTCATTTGAAAAAGAAGGTAGGTTAAAAAAAATTATTGTTTATTAGTTTATTAATTCTTTTGTTTAATAAACAATTGAAAATAATTTTTTATTACTTCATTAATTAACTATTAATGGATATTTCGAGTAAAACTTAATAGCATTTTTTTTATTCTAGTTAATAAGATGTGTCTGATGAATAAAAAAGGAAAAAATCTATATACATTTGCACATGAGTTCAAACTCCCAACCAACTCAGAGTGGGTGAAATTGCCCGCTTTTACCATCGAAGATATTCCTTCTTCCGAGTTTGACATCATCGCACAAGTAGCTTATGATTACTCAGGTATTAATGTACAAATCAGAAAAAAGTTACCTACGACCAGCAGTTGCAATCATAACAGTACAACTGACAAATCAGGAACCGTTAGTTGACCGCGTAGTGCATTGGGAAAAAATTTTTGAAGTTAATAACTTAATACTTTCATATACTTCTAATACATGTCCAGAAAAAAAGGAAAAACCTGTTCACTGTATGGGACGATATCATACCTTCTGTATGACAATTTCTTGTTCAATATTCTGGCACGGATTTGTTGAAGACTTGTACTGTTTAGATGTGTGCAAACATGTACAAGATCATTTCAAGAGTCATGAATTCAGCGATGTGAAAATCAAAGTCGAAGACAATGAATTTTTCGCGCATAAATAGATTTTAGCTAGTCAAAGTTCTGTGTTACATGGAATGATAGCTAGCATGGAAGAATCCAAAGAAAATTGTATTTCTTTTCCGGATACCGACATCGATACTATTGAAGAAATGCTTCTGTTCTTCTATGGAAAAAAATTAGATAAAGCTGAAAAAAACGAAGAAATTCTGTTAAAATTAATCAAGGTTGCAGTAATCTATAAAATTGACAAATTAAAAACTGCTTGTGAATATGTTTTGTTAAAAAACTTGACGATTGATAATGCATTTGATTTTTTCGATATAAGTCAGAAATATAATTCAAGTATTTTGCAACAACATGCACTCGTTATTTTTGAAAAAAATGCCTTTGGAATGATTGACGCAACATTGAAGATGTTATTTTAGTCAATGAGCGTGTTCAGCCGAACTAAGTCCTGAGTAAACTTAGTTAGCCTAAGTATAGTCAAAGCATTCCCTGCTATACATATATCTATCTACTATACTATACATATCTTACTAAGTTTACTCAGGACTTAGTTCGGCTGAACACGCTCAATAATAACATCGCTTCTTTTGAAACATGATTTGAACTCTAAAAATTAGTTGTACGGTAAAACATTTTGATAATGATTTTTATATTATAGGTAGTTTAGACTAAGTGGCGCTACGGAGATTATAATTTATCTAAATGTTTATAGCCTCAGAATATCAAAAAAAAAAAAATTGCTATCATTTTATATAATTAATTGAAATCACGGATTTTGTATTAAAATAATTACCATCCAAGTGAAATAAAAATTTCTACTCCAAATAACTGGAACTTAAATAGAAAAATAAACAGTTCAATATATTGAATTCCGATTGTAAAAGGCAAAATTAATTAATTTACTTTGATAAAAAAGGTTACTTGAAAATTATTATGATACTGAAATTAAGAAATTTTTAAGAATTTGTTAATTTTTTTTAACAACTAAAACCGCGAATAAAGAATAGAATAGAATCGGAATTAGGAATGGGCGACATACATATATCGATGTTTCGCTTATCTATATTTTTTTTAATCGACACATCGATATTTAATGAAAAACAATCAACTATATTGACATTGTCGAGTCAGATTCTTTAAGATTTTTTCTTTTAATTGTTAATTTATGATAATTTTTCTTTTACTAGTGAATAGAAAAAGGGCGTGCCATAAATTTGAATTTTTTTTTTTTTAACCAATAAATCACTTTAGCAGAAATAAAATATTTCGCGCAGTTCAATACTTTTATCTAGTCTGTATCTTCGAAAAATTTCTTGTGCAAACTTTTGTATATACCGTGCGCATGATTTTTCAGAAGCAATTCAACAAAATTTTTTATTACTCAAAAAAACAATCATATTTTAAATATTTATATCTGTAAGGTAAAAGACCCAGTTATTGACACTGGCCTAGTTAATTGACACACAATTTTATTCTAATTAAAAAAATAAAATGTTCTTAAAAAACCAATTATCTCAAAATTTATAAGTAAAAAATTATATTTATTAATTTATTAGAGTCGATTTGTTTTTTTTAATTAAAATAAAATTGCAAGAATGAAAAGAATTTATTTAAACTGTTAAAATCAAATAAATATAATTTTATTTGAGAAACTAAATTTTATGAATTCAAAGCCGGCTCTGTCTGGTATATAACTGCTGCTCGGCGGGCATGCGCTCTTACAATCAACTTGACATGAGCGTATGCAGTGCGCCACTGTGCCACTCTCGCGGTTTCTACATGAAAATGATCTATCCTCAAGGCCGCCGATGTTCACCTAAATAAACACAAGCAATATGGCGACCGTTTTTATTGTGAATTGATACCATAAACACTTTGTTAAATTTATTTGTTATCAATCAGCTACAAACATATTGAGAATATTAAAATAATACTGAATTTTCAATCCCAAGTTGATGCAGATGTAATCAGTTCAAGTAATCAAGTTTTTTGAGAAGTAAGATATATTTAGATTCATTGAAGAAAAAAATAAAAAATAATTATATTAATTATTATGATTATATGGGATTTTTTCGTTAATCTTGATGGTATTTTCTATTTAGTGAATAAAATAAGTCTGATGATTAAAAAAGGAACGAATAAGTATGAATTTAAGTGCTATTTTTATCTTGACTCAAACAGCGAGTGGAAAAAGTCGCAATTTTTCAATTCCAAAGATATTCCTAATTCTGAATTTAACATGCTCGCACGAATAGCTGGTGATAAGCAGAGCATTGATATACAAGTACAAAAAAGTGATCTTCGAGCAGCAGTTGCGGTCATAGAAGTACAATTGGACAAGCAAAGGCCGATGATAAGCCGCGTTGTAGATTGGAAGAAAAATGTTGATTTTAATAATTTTATACTTTCGTTTGCTGTTGATACATGTTCAAAAATAAAAAGTATTTATGATGTATGTTCTTGAGATAATAGTCACAGATACTCTGTAGCAGTGAGTTATTCAATATTCTGGCATGGATTCGTTGAGGATTTGTACGGTTTGTTTGGATGCAGACATGTAGAAAATTATTACAAAAGCAATGAATTTAGTGACATGGTGATTATTGTTGACGATAATAAATTTCCTGCTCATCAGAATATTTTAGCAAGACAAAGTTCTATTTTCCGTGATATGTTGACTAGTAACTTGAAAAAGTCTGGAGAAAACAGTATTTCTTTCCCGGGTGTCGATGTCAAGATTATCAAAGAAATGATTTTGTTTTTCTACCAAAATAGATTAGATGATGCTGAAAAAGATGAAGAAATGGCATTAAAATTGGTGAAGTTTGCAGCTATGTATCAGATTGACTATTTAAAAACTGCTTGTGAATATCTTTTGGTGAAAAACTTGAAAATTGATAACGTATTTGACCTCTATTCTGTCGCTAAGGATTGTAATTTAATAACTTTACAACAACATGCAATTACGCTTATCAAAAACAATATTTTTGAAATGGGCGTAATACCTCAAAAAGGCAGGAATGAATTTACATTACATCATAAATTCAAATTCGATTCTAGAAAGAGTGAAAAACGATCACCTATTCTCAATACAGCAGATACGATTGACATTTCTGATACAGAATTCACCATTTTTGCCGAAATAGATCGTTACAATCTGAATGTAAAAATAAAAAAAAGTGATCAAAGATCAGCAGTAGCGATTATTAAAGTACAAATTGGAAATCAGAAGCCGATCATATTCCAGTTAGCTAATTGGGAAAATACAGTTGATTTTAAAAACTTTCCAATTCCTCTTACTCTTGATGTGTGTCCAAAGTTCCCGAACCTAAAGTCTCATTGTAACATAAAATATGAACACGAATACGAAGTGCCAATAAATATTTCGGTAGTCTGGCAAGGGTACATAGAAGAAGTTTATTATCTAGATGTATGCAATCACATGAAAAACTATTACGATAATACTGAATTTAGTAATTTGAAGATAAGTGTCGAAGACAGTGAATTTCCGGCTCACAAGAATGTTTTAGCAAAACAAAGCCCGGTGTTCTATAAAATGCTAACCACTGATATGAAAGAGTCAAGAGAAAACAGAATTTCTTTCCCAGATGCCGATGTTGGTACTATCAAAAAAATGCTTATGTTTTTCTATCAACAAAAATTAGAGACAGCTACAAATGATAAAGAAGAGGTGTTAAAATTGTTCCATTTTGCAACTATGTACCAGATTGACAAGTTAAAAATTGCTTGTGAATATCTTTTTATGAAAAATTTGAAAATTGAGAACGCATTTGACTTTTATTTTGTCGCTAAGGATTATAATTTCATTACTTTACAGCAACATGCACTTATTTTTATTGAAAATAATGCCTTTGAAATTCTCGATGCAACCTGTAAGAGGTTGCAGTAGCCATTTCCAATCAAATATTTTAAAAAAGGTTTCCAACTCTGCTATTATTATTCTCCTACAATTATATTATTTTAATATTCAAAAAAAAATTTTTTAAAACTTTCTAAAACTTAAAAAAAATAATATTTTGCATTTATAACTTGATGATAATTTTTTATGTTTTTAATGTACGAGCTAAATAAACTTTATAATTAACTCTATCTTTAGTTTTGTTGTAACAAATACACTGATAAGAAAAATATGAATTTCATAATCCTGAGTTACATATAACTTAATTGATTTAATTGATACAGGTGTAAAAAAAAATATAAATTTTCCGTTTTGTAATTTAACATTTTAGCTTTAAAAAAGAAATTAAACATGGACGATTCCACCAAATTTTTTATTTAAAAAATGTGAAAAGGTAAGTATCATTTTATTTGAAAAATATTAAAATAAAAATACGCTAATTGTGTAATAACAAAAAATAGATTCGTAGTTAGCCGCATTAGCGCTACGATTTCCTAAAAATAATAACAATATGGGTATTTTTTGTTAATTGGTACCTCATGTTCCATATTTACTTATTAATTATAAATTAACTACAAAAATATCAATAATATCCATGAAATAATGACATTGTCAGTCCAAAGTTGATGAAGAAATATCCAATTAAATTTTTCGAGTTTTTGAGTGGTAAGATATATTGATTCATTTGAAAAAGAAGGTAGGTTAAAAAAATTATTGTTTATTACTTTATTAATTGTTTTGTTTAATAAACAATTAAAAATAATTTTTTATTACTCTATTTATCAACTATTAATAGATATTTCAAGTAAAACTTAATAGCATTTTTTTATTCTAGTTAATAAGATGAGTCTGATGAATAAAAAAGGAAAAAATGTATACACATTTGCTCATGAGTTCAAATTTCCAACCAACTCTGAGTGGGTGAAATCGCCTGCTTTTACCATCGAAGATATTCCTACTTCCGAGTTCGACATCACCGCACAAGTAGCTTATGATTGCTCAGGTATTAATGTACAAATCAGAAAAAGTGACCTACGACCAGCAGTTGCAATCATAACAGTACAACTGACAAATCAGGAACCGTTAGTTGACCGCGTAGTGCATTGGGAGAAAATTTTTGAAGTTAATAACTTAATACTTTCATATGCTTCTAATACATGTCCAGAAAAAAAGGAAAAACCTGTTCACTGTATGGGACGATATCATACCTTCTGTATGACAATTTCTTGTTCAATATTCTGGCACGGATTTGTTGAAGACTTGTACTGTTTAGATGTGTGCAAACATGTACAAGATCATTTCAAGAGTCATGAATTCAGCGATGTGAAAATCAAAGTCGAAGACAATGAATTTTCCGCGCATAAAAAGATTTTAGCTAGTCAGAGTTCTGTGTTACATGGAATGATAGCTAGCATGAAAGAATCCAAAGAAAATTGTATTTCTTTTCCGGATACCGACATCGATACTATTGAAGAAATGCTTCTGTTTTTCTATGGAAAAAAATTAGATAAAGCTGAAAAAAACGAAGAAATTCTGTTAAAATTACTCAAGGTTGCAGTTATCTATAAAATTGACAAATTAAAAACTGCTTGTGAATATATTTTGTTAAAAAACTTGACGATTGAAAATGCAGTTGATATTTTTTCTTTAAGTCAGGAATATAATTCAAGTATTTTGCAACAACATGCACTCGTTATTTTTGAAAAAAATGCCTTTGGAATGATTGACGCAACATTGAAGATGTTTTTGTAGTCAATAATAACATCGCTTCTTTTAAAAAATGATTTCAACTCTAAAAATTAGTTGTACGGTGAAACATTTTGATAATGATTATGAAAAAATATTTTTAATTTCAAGACTGTATGCTTTTTTCAATTTTTTTATCTGACAGTTAACTAAAAATGTAAAACCTCAAAATTATTTTAATTTAATTTACCTTCGAAAAAGAAATTTAAATAATCAATTAATTTTTAACAACGTAATTACTTTTTAAGATTCCGGTAAAATAAAATTAAAATTTTCAATTTTAATTTCTATTCAATTTTTTTGATTGTATGTTATAAGTTGTTTAAATGAGTGGCGCTACGGATATTAATTATAATTAATCTAATTGTTTATAACCTCAGAAAATAAAAAAAAGTTGATGTAATTTTATATAATTACTTGAAATCACGGATTTTGTATTGAAATAATTACTGAAATAAAAATTTCTACTTTAAATATCTGGAACTTATAGAAAAATAAACAGTTCAATATATTGAATTCCGATTCTAAAAGGTAAAATTAATTAATTTACTTTGACAAAAAAAGGTTACTTGAAAATTATTAAAATTGACATGAAGAAATTTTAAAAAATAAAAAATGCAATCTTTTAAAAATAATTTTTTTTAACAAATTTGTTTGTTAAAAAAATCCAAAAATGATCAAGTGACTGCTAACTTTAATGTCATAATTATCAAACCTTCTACATGTGGAATTTTTATTTTTTTTTTAATGATTTTTTCAATAACTAAAATCATAAAAATTTATCTGTAAATTTTAGGATCATTAATTATTACTTAAATTTTGATAGTGGATCCGATTAAAAATAACTTTTAATGATTAAAATTAGCAATTGTTTTTGATACTGTAATCAGAATCACTAGAAAAGCACTAAAAGCTAAAATAAGTAAACTAAAAACTGAATCAGTAATAAAAGTAATAAAAACTATATTTTTTTATTTACAGTGAAATATGAATTTGGTAACTCACGAAGGAGCAAACGAGTACAAATTCGATTACGTGCTCAAATTAGAGACAAATGGGAAGTGGTTGCAATCACCCGCTTTCAATATAATAGATATTCCTGGCACAGAATTTAATATTTCCGCCCAGATAGCTGAAGATTACAAGGATATCAATGTACAAATTCAAAAAAGTAATCTTAAGCCAGCAATGGCAATTATAAAAGTACAAGTAAAAAAAATGAAACCCATGATCTACAGCGTGGTCGATTGGAGAAAAAACATTGATTTTCATAACTTTTCATTCAGTCTTGATCCCAATTTGTGTAGAAAATACATATTGTTTCCGCTTCATAGTAATATGATTAAATCCTATTACGAAGTACGAATTTATTGCTCGATTATCTGGCAAGGTTACTTAGAAGACGCTTATCACCTAGATGTGTGCAATCATATGAAAAATTATTACGACAATACTGATTTCAGCGATATGAAAATTAGCGTCGGAGGCAGTGAATTTCCTGTTCACAAAAATATCTTAGCAAAACAAAGTCCTGTCTTCTATAAATTGCTGACCAGTGATATGAAAGAGTCCAAAGAAAACGTTATATCTTTTCCGGATGACGATGTCAGTTCTGTAAAAGAAATGCTTTTGTTTTTTTATGAGAAGAAATTGGATGAAGCTACAAGAAATGAAGAAATGGCATTGAAATTGTTCAAGTTTGCAGCTATGTACCAAATTGATAGGCTAAAAACTGCTTGCGAATATATTTTGGTAAAAAATTTAAAAATTAGTAATGTATTTAGTTTTTATGTTGTGGGAAAGGATTGTAATTCAATTATTTTGCAACAACATGCAATTATTTTTCTCAAGAATAATGTCTTTAATATGCTTGACGCAACGTGTGATGTGTTGTAATAGAAATTTAAAATCGTAGATTTTTAAAAAAGATTTGAAATTTTTTTAAATTAGTAATTTTAACAAGATAATTCCGAATTAAAAGAAATTAACTTTGTATTTCTTCCTAATGTTTATGTTTGATTTTATTTTATTAAAATACTTATAAAAAAAAAGAAATTTTTGATTCCAAATATTTATCATTTAATTGGTTAATAAATAGCATAGAAAATAATGTAAAATATTATTGTCATTAATGACAAAGAGTGTGTTCATGATCTAGAGGTCAGAGGTCTGTTCAAATATTCATGTCAGTTTTTAAAAAAAACTTTTGTAAGAAACTTATTATAAATTTTTTTATATTAAACTTAAGTGATTTTAGTATTAATAATAGAATATAACAAAACTCACCGTAAGTAAAAATGAACTTGAAATTTTGTCCAATACTTTATCCGAGAAATAATTTTTATATATATTTCATATATCATTTCATATATCATTCGATGCTTATCGTTGATTTAAATAACAGGCCAATTAAATAGTTTACACAATGACGTCAGCCCAATCGTATCATTTTTCACGGCCTATGACTCTTACATTGGTATTGGACCGCTTTTTTCATTGATTTATCCAAAAATTATTTGATATTTTTTATGAAGAAAGAAAACCAAAAAATTTTTAATAAATCCTTACAAAAATTCTAATTTAAAAATATGGAGAAGTAATAATTTATTGAATTATAATGATACTGAAATTGAGAGACATTTGATAATTTTTATAATCTTTTAATAAATAAATTACAGTAAGAAAAAAAAATTCAATAATTCCATCTTTAGAAGCTCTAAAAAATTATAAATGCTACTTTTTTAAATTAATTTTCTAGGCCTAGTTTATTTTTCAAGAAAAATCGAAAAATTGCCAAGTGTCTCCTAATTTTAGTGTCGAGAATTATAAGATTCATTATTTTAGTTAAAAAAAATTTTTTTGCTTTTTATATTTTATTTTAATCAATTTTATTGTGAAAAATCAGATTATGAGGCGTGCACTTTTGGATTTTCCAAACTTTTTAATATTTACAATTATTTAGTAAAAAAATTTAATTTTTTAATTGACCACATTAGCGCTACAGTTCTCTGATCGCTGATGCCCGACCGTATATGTAGTGTATGTTGATGTAGCTCACCACGGGAAAAAAATTTTTTTTTCTTTTCATGAGTCACCGCGATATTACGCAGTTCATATGAAAGTTCTGAATTAATCGATCAGCTGTAAAGACATCAATATTATCCAGGAAACATAAATATTTTCAATTAAAAGTTGACGTAAGAATAATCAGTTGAATTAATCAATTTATTGGAGCGCAAAAAATATATTTATTTGTTTATTTGAAAAAAAGGTTAGTTGAAAAAATTATTATTTCAAATTTTAACAATCAATGAAAAGAAATTTTTTAACATTTTTTTTTTTTATTTTAGCGAGTAAGATGAGGCTAATGACTAAAGAAGGAAAAAATATCTACACATTTACACATAAGTTCAAACTTCCAATCTATTGTGCGAGCATGAACTCATCACTTACTTTAGATATCGAAGATATTCCTGATTGCGAATTTAAGATTTCCGCAAAAATAGCTGACGATTACATGAATATTTATGTGCAAGTGCAAAAAAGTGATCTTCGGCCAGCAGTTGCTATCATAAAAATACAAATGGAGAATCATAAATCGAAAATTATCCGTGTAATTGATTGGAGAAAAAATGTTGATTTTAATAACTTTATACTTTCTTGGGCTTTTAATACATGTAATAAGAATCAAAAAAAACCAGCTGAATGTTTAGCGTCCCATCACACTTTCGAAATGACAATATCCTGCTCAATAATCTGGCACGGATATGTTGAAGATTTGTACCATCCTGATGTGTGCCAACATATAGGAAATTATTGGGACAATACTGTATTCAGCAACGTGAAAATTAAAGTCGGTGACAGTGAATTTCCTGCTCATAAAATCATTTTAGCTGAACAAAGTCTTGTTTTTAACGAAATGCTGATCAGTGACTTGAAAGGGTCTAGAGAAGACATTATTTTTTTCCCAGATGCTGACGTCGATGTTATCAAGGAAATGATTCGATTTTTTTATCAAAACAGACTAGATAAAGCTATAAATGACGAAAAAATGATGTTGAAATTATTAAAGTTTGCGATCAGATACCAAATTGATAAGTTGAAAGCTGCTTGTGAATATATTTTGATAAGAGATTTAAAAATTGATAATGTATTTAATCTTCATGCTGTGGGGATAGATTACAATTTAAGTATTTTGCAACAACATGCAATTGCTTTTCTTGAAAACAACAGTTCTGTAATCTATGATACTCTTGATGTTTGATTTATTATTTTCAATTCCTAATTAGAATCATTCATGTCAGTAAAGACTTCTATTAGTTTTTTATCATCAGAAATATTATTTAGCACTCTCAAGAAAATAAATTTGCGCATTTAGACTACAGAATTAGTAAATTCTACTGGGTTTTTTTTTGTAATACACTTCACTAAAATTAAATAACAACAATTCTTATAATTATAGTTATCATTTTATTCAGATAGTTTTATTTTTTTTTTAAATAAGTTAAATAATTATCTTTTGTTAATTCAGCTATTTTAATAATAATGTTATTTTATTGATGCCAACTTTTTAAATTTTTCTTTTTACATTTGGATTTTTTCTTCCTTGTCATATTTTACTATCGGCTTGAATTATTTTTTATATAATCTAAATATCTCTTTTATTTTATTAAAGGTAACATTTTCTAAGTTTAAATAATTTTAAAAATATCATTTATGGTTTTCCAAATTTAGTTTAGAAACGGCCAAATTAAACACCCAACCCAACCGTCATAAAAAAATATTGACTTTTTGGTAGATTTTGTTCAAAAAGAAGTAAAAAATTAATAATTTTCAACTTAAAAATTCAACAAAACAAAGTTTGTGCAGCTTGGAAAATTAATGTAAATGCCATTAATGCAAATGCAAATTATTATTTTTTTACTTCTTGTTAAGTAAAATTTTCCAAAAAGTCATGATGTTATGTCCGAATTAATTATAGTTAAATAATTATTGGTAGAGTGGGCCTTGAGGAGGCTCGGACACGTTTTGAGATAGATTTTCTCTTGTAGACGAGCTACAAGAGTTTTATTTTTAATGTAGGTTTCGAACGCCTCCCGGTAACCAGGAGTTCCAACGGCGAATTTAAAGGGAAAGTCGATATCAAATGCTGAACTCACAGTTGTCTTTATGATTTATATTGTTGATTTGAATTAGAGCTGCCGATCGGTAGATCCTTGGTTGATTGCTCTTCCAT